GAGTCAAAATAATCAGAATCGGAGTCGAAACCACAGAAATCTGAAACGGAACTACCGGAATCGGAATCGAAATCATCAGAATCGGAATCTAAACCACAGGAATCTGAATCGGAATTACCGGAATAGGAGTCAAATTCATCAGAATCGGAATCGAAACCACAGGAATCTGCAACGGAACGACCGGAATCGAAATAATCAGAATCGGAATTGAAACCACAGGAATCAGAACATCCGGAATTGGAATTGGAGTCCTCAGAATCGTGATTGGAAACACAGGATTCGAAATAGGCGTCATCAGAATCGGAATCTAAACCACAGGAATCTGGATTGGAATTACCGAATAAGTATTCAAATTCATCAGAATCGGAGTCGAAACCACAGGAATCTGAAAGGGAACGACCGGAATCGGAATCGAATTCATCAGTATCGGAACTGAAAACAGGAATCGGAACATCCGGAATCGGAATCGGAGTCCTCAGAATCGTTATTGAAAATACAGGAATCGAATTCGCAACGTCCAGAGACGGAAGCTAAACCACCGGAATCGCAATGGATATTATCAAAATCGGAATAAGAGTCAAAATAATCAGAATCTGAGTCGAAACCACAGAAATCTGAAACGGAACTACCGGAATCGGAATCGAAATCATCAGAATCGGAATCTAAACCACAGGAATCTGAATCGGAATTACTGGAATAGGAGTCAAATTCATCAGAATCGGAATCGAAACCACAGGAATCTGCAACGGAACGACCGGAATCGAAATAATCAGAATCGGAATTGAAACCACAGGAATCAGAACATCCGGAATTGGAATTGAAGTCCTCAGAATCGTGATTGGAAACACAAGATTCGAAATAGGCGTCATCAGAATCGGAATCTAAACCAGAGGAATCTGGATCGGAATTACCGGAATAGCATCCAAATTCATCAGAATCGGAGTCGAAACCACAGGAATCTAAACCGGAACGACTGGAATCGGAATCCAAATAATCAGAATCGGAATTGAAACTACAGGAATCGGAGCATCCGGAATCGGAGTCCTCAGAATCGTGATTGAAAGCACAGGATTCGTATTTGGAACGTCCAGAATCGGAAGCTAAGCCACCGGAATCGAAATCGGAATCTAGACCACAAGAATCTGGATCGGAATTACCGGAATAGGAGTCAAATTCATCAGAGTCGGAATCGAAACCACAGGAATCTGAAACGGAACGACCGGAATCGGAATCGAAATCATCAGAATCGCAATTGAAACCACCAGAATCAAAATCCAAATCAAAACCCATAACTCGCCTTCTTAGGTTAGGTAATAGATATATCTAGTATTTGGAACTTCTGTTAATGAGCTTAAACGAAGTCTTAAGGACATTACAACGTAATTCTTTTATTCAAGACTGCTTTATTTGTAACAAGGATTTTACTCGTTGTTTAAATAAACAAATATAATGAATAGCTTACAGAAGCCTTGATGGTGGTTTTGATACCTTTCACTGACTGAAGGAATCCCTTGAAAAGTTAACGCCTAAAGAACGAAAAAACCCTTCTAGCAAACCAGTCGACAAACGCGTCAAATACTCGTTGCGACTCTATTTCGAGCGCGACTCTACTTGTGAATAATCAAGCAGGCGTCTCACATTTCAGCTTTTCAATAATGTATGCGAAAGTGCTTTAGCGTTGGCAGAGTAGGCGATGCTCTTCGTAGATGATGCGTTTTAGCGTTTTACTGTAATTAAGGATTCCTGGGAAGCCAAAAATTGTTTGATCAGGTACAGGGTGGTTCTCGTACTGGATGTATATAAACGTTCAAACTAAACATAATGACACGGATATACCTAGACAGCTGTTTGATGCTTTTTGGCAACTCATCAGAATAGTCTAGGCTTGGTCTCAAGTAGTACAAAGAACGAAATCATAGCTACGTAAATTATTCTATAGACGATTTTTTTTGGGTTGAAGCATGAACTTTTCAGTTAGTTCTTCTCTTATGCACAAGAAGAAAATATTGGGCTCTTACGTTATTCGTCGACATAAGAGGTAACCCCATTTCAATTTGCTTGCATCTCACTGAGCACACACTCAACAGGCGCTGGTTATTTTTTTGGTTTGATGACTTTCTTGGATAAATAGATATGTTAGTATCGTAGACCTTATTGTATCCAACCTGCACATCTCATGTGAACCACATATTCGGTCGTGTTACGAAGCCATGTTTTATTTCAGTTACATAAAATACAACAAAAACCTTCTGAATTGGAGCGTCAGCAACAGAACCACGTTAAAACTTTGTGTCATAAACAAAATTTCTGCTTAAATGCCGGATTTGTAGCTTCGCCGAAGTTTTCTCCTGTAAGCCGTATTTTCATAATTAGAACAAAACGCCTACCCCAAACTTTGTCACAATTTTTCGTTTAAAAAGTTTTATAAAACGGTATTTATATCAGCAGCTGCGAAATTTAGTGGTGGAGAAACGCTCAATTAGAGAACGCCATATAATTATTGCTATTGTAATTGGCGAATGCAGGAAGGGTCTTGTGGGGATCCGAATCCCCCCGAAATATCCGATTTGGAAATGTTGGTGCGTGTTTTTCAGTTTGCAGACGCACTATATACTACTATAAAAAAATTCGAATTTATAATATGGATCCTCCCCCAAAAAATATTTTCTAGATACGACCATGAAGCAGTATAGAGGTGGGCAATAAAGATTTGAAAGTTCAGTCAAAACATATCCTTCTTGTAAGACCGACTTTTGTAACTTTCAGAGTTGAATACGTAAAATAAATGTATCCTTAAACCAATTTTTATGGAAGTTTCACATTCTAAAAACAGAACGTGCAAAGAATTACATACGCTGAACGTACATTTTGAATGCACAATGTTGATCGAAATAAAGCAACACAAAGTGTCATCTATACACGAGGTTTGTCTCTAAAACAGGGTTGCCACATTTTTTTCATGCAGAAGAAATTAAAACAATTCACCATTGGAAACGTTGATATTTGCAAACTTATCGCACATTTAGCTATTATCATATATGCATAGTAAAATGATAATTATCATATGTTGCCGTATCTCAACGATAGCATGTACAGGGTTTGTCCGGAAAGTAATAGGACTCATTTTCTACAGCTACCTGACCAAGGCCGGCATCCCAACGCTTCCGCAGCCACCCTACAGCCCAGATGTGGCGCTTCGGACTTTTTTTTGTTTCCTCGCCTGAAAAGGCCCATGAAAGGCAAGCATTTTGAGACGACAGAGGGGATCCAAGCAGCATGCACCGCGGCTCTCAAGGCTATTCCGGAGATTGCCTTCCGTGACGCCTTCAATGCTTGGAAATCGCGCTGGCAGCGCTGCATCGACGCAGAAGGAGTCTATTTTGAAAGAAAGAATTGCAACGGTTGGCCCAATACATTTTTTTAAATCGACTAAGTCCTATTACTTCCGGACAAACCCTGTGTGACCGATTTATCTACGTCATCGCTGAAGATCGATTACTCATTTATCTTTCTAGCAACAGTGTACGGGAAATGCCGAATTTTGCACGGGAATCTGGGGAAGCTGTCAATGGTAGAGAGACATTGGGTACACCTGGGTCGTTGGTGCGACTAGAGGCATGTAGAGATTGATGATGTGCTCGATCTTAATAACCTAATAGCCATACTTACAAGCTACTGTAAACTAGTGTTCCTTACATATTCTGATTCCCACTGATGAGATGAAAAATCATGTCACTCTCTTCCGTCTGTCTGTTCGCTGATACTTGAGTACGAATTCACTATTTAATTTGATTTTCAAGCTCAAGTCAAGTATTAGGTATTTGCGATCTAATATCAAGTCACGTAGTTCTTACGACTGACTGTCAAGTGTTAGAAAATTCAAGTAGTTTTGATATTACTTGATAATTTTTGTAATATAAATACGGGAAGACTTTGTCACGTGTTTCAGAGAAAGCAATACATATTAAACAAGTTTAAGTTGTGTCTGTTATACAACATGTTTGACTAAACATGTATGGACATTATAATTGAAGTGAAAAACATGTAAAATTAATTGATAACCTATATTGCCCATTAAAACTACTGTCAGTTGATCTCGACACCGTCTTGCAGCATCTCATTTTCGAAAACGTCCAAATAAATAGCACGTCTGTGCCAAAATCATCAGTCTGGCAACGCTGTTTCTTATAGTCGAGAACTATTTTAATAGCAGCGTTGCCAGACGTACGATAATTATCGTTTCTGTACGATAATTTCAAGTACTGTACGATGAACGATACTATGTGTGGGATAATAGCTGAATGTACGATAATTTTGCGAATGAGCTCTTTTACTCCCAGATGTTGAATCAATCTAACAACTACGTTCAATTAACACCAGCAAGCAGATGTCAGTGTTGCCGCTTGGTCGACAAGCGCGCGTACCCCACTCTGTATAATGGGTTGCCTGGCATTACGCGGAGTACCTCGGCAAACATCAACGGGAAAATTTGCCGTCAATCAGTTGTCACGTTGTATGAATTGACATGACGCGCATATTTTTATTTAACCGTGTGCATTAAATGAAATGAATGCGACGTCTCCCGTTTTTTAGACTTTTAAAACTTAAAAATCAAAAGATCGTTTTCAGTTATTTTCGATATTAAACAAAAGAAAAGGAGCAGACTCTTTGAAGAAAGCCAAACATAGACAGCAAGCTTATAGGAAAGAGTGGGAAACAAAGGAAATTTTCCTTTATCATGAATCCTTAGAGAACCTAAGGCGCGGTGTAGGATAATGTAAAACGTACGATAATTTAGAAGGGTTGTGAATCTGGCAACGCTGTTTAATAGCGTGCTGAGCAAAACTGGGAAGACGTTGCGAAAACCGCAGCCTCCTAGACTGCTCGACGGTCGTTCTGGCTGTTAGACTGACATTGCGGCAACCGGCCAAGGTTATTATAGATATACCGATATACGCAATTCGCCATGTTCATTTGCATTGTAATGCTGAAGTTCTAACCTGGAGCAATGGAAGAGAGCAGTGTGGTCCTGGCTTCGCATCGTCCACCGGAGAATCGTCAGCGACACCTTGGTCGCACTGCGAACTCGAACTGCTATTGGAAGACTTCACGGCTGACCAAAAGCGTCTCAAGCCCAGCTCGCGACGCTGTTTCTGTAACAAACAACAAAGTTTAATAAACAAAGTGGAAACGATCGAAAAGAAAACAGTTGTACCTGACTCTCCTTGTATGGAGCATTCCGGATATCTATTGCGTTCAGTAACCCTTTGTCATTACTCTAAATAAATTTCACACGGTCACTACTCAAGGGTCGATCAGACCCTCCTATTTTTTTATACAGGGTGTTTCAGTTTATTGTTGCATAACTGTAAGATTCGATAGAACTTTTAAAATTAATGCATAAAGTCTATATAAACATGGGTCGAAAAATGCGTGGCTTCCGAAATACAGGGTGTTTAAATTTACTTTTTAAAATAGTTTTTTTAAAATATTTCGAACAATATTTGATGTATAACAGTGAAAATTGGTATACAAGGGTTTTTTGGTACGACAAAACGAACCATGGGCATAGTTTTACTGTAGCCGCTAGAGGGCGCTCTCTACTGTACCTGTAGTGTATTAAAATGACCGAAAAAATTTTCTTAGTGCAATTTTTTGCTTTTTGAATAAAAATACTGATTCTTCGCACTTTTCAACATAAAAAAGCTCTCCTGTGAGTTTTCGTTATAGTTAGCCGTATTTGAGATATTTCGATTTTTAAGGTTCGATGCATTTTTAATTATTTATGGGAAAATAATATTTTTTTACATTTTCGATTTGGGCATTACAAGTAATTAAGATGATCGTTTAGATTGTGTTTTTAAACACAGCAATAATTCCTAACTCCAAATAAACACAAAAAACAGAATATTAATTTGTTTAATTTTCCAATATTATTTTTAACAACTTAAATTAATTATTTACAACTAAAATGCTATTGGATAGTTAGGACAAACATACAAAATCTAAAGTAGTTGCTCGAAATGTAAACCCAATTGTTCAATACACAATTCACATCTACGAATGATCGAACGTGGTATAGCATTATTCAAATAAGGCATTATTTCATCACATGCATTCCTGATTCTGTCTATTAGCATATCTCTTGTGGTTACGGGAGTCTGGTACACTTTTTCTTTTAGAAATCCCCACACAAAGAAATCTAATGGATTTAGGTCAGGGGATCGTGGAGACCAGGCGACTGGTCTGGACTAAATTTCGTGCATTCACAATTGCAAAAAAACGTTTCAGGTTTCAACAGACAACAAAACTAACTGTCAATTAATTGACGTTTAACCTTATTCTGCTTTCAATTTCAAAAATATTTGCAGGCACAGCCTACTTCTAAAAATTATCGAGATACTGACTTTTTAACGATATTTTATCATAAATAATTAAAAATGCATCGAACCTTAAAAATCGAAATATCTCAAAAACGGCTAACTATAACGAAAATTCACAAGAGAGCTTTTCTATGTTGAAAAGTGCGAAGAATCAGTTTTTTTATTCAAAAAGCAAAAAATTGCACTAAGAAAATTTTTTCGGTCATTTTAATACACTCTAGCGGCTACAGTAAAACCCATGGTTCGTTTTGTCGAACCAGAAAACCCTTGTATACCAATTTTCACTGTTATACATCAAATATAAGTGGATACCAAATAAAACCCGATGCACGTCATCGATCTGGAGCTGTGCGCTGTTGCCAGAATTGATATGAGCTCTTTACACCGACTGTTAAGTTGTTTTGGCATTTTGGATACTTTATACCACTTCACAGTAACTTTTGTTCTGAGAAGAACAACTTTTAATTGGCAAGGCAACGATTCAAAGCTCAAATAGCGCAAAACTCACAAACTAAACAATAAAGAACTAATAGTACGACAAAAGGACAATGGCAACTGATGTCAACAAATGAGAAGTGGCAACCTCACATTTCTCTGCACGGCACTACCAACCGAATCGAGACGGGGAAATTTAAACGTCAAGTAGAAATGTCACATTGAATGTAGTCAACTGTTGGTAACCATGATTTTTATGAATGACATCACCTATGACGTGCATCGGATTTTATTTGGTATCCACATTGTTCGAAATATTAAAAAAAAAACTATTTTAGAAAGTAAATTTAAACACTCCGTATTTCGTAAGCCACGCATTTTTCGAGCCATGTTTATATAGACTTTATGCATTAATTTTAAAAGTTCTATCGAATCTTAAAGTTATGCAACAATAAACACCCTGTATAATTAAGAAACTTTTGAAATAAAACTATTTAAAAGATACATATATTATGTAATAAAGTAATAGGTACACCTTTAATTATTCCCTGAACAGTTTTGGCATAAGTACAACAATTGAGCAATTGTTGCAAACTTCTATTGTTTGAAAATATTGATTTAAAAGTTGACACGTATCCAATAAGGGTCGAGTTGAGTTTGACAGTTTGACACCAGGTAACTAGATATTTTATAGTATTTACAAAATGGCTTGCGAACTTCATGATCGTGATGTAAAGTCGAATATTTTGTGATGTTAGTAGTGAAAAAAGTGCTTGTCGAATGGATTAAATTGTCGACCAAGGTATGTTATGCATCATTTTTAACTAATAACCTGACAAATCTCTATTATTTATCGCACTCATCTGAAGAGATGTTACATTTGGCTTTCTAGGTAATGATAATGGAAAAAACTAAATAGTCAAGTAGGTATCTCTAGTATACTATTTGTCAGACTAATCATTAAATTGCATAACATAACATATGTGAAAACAACAAAAAATAGTAGATTAGAAATTTACTAGTTGCTTTTGCGTAGCGTACCGTTGCCGAATATAAACGTTACAGAAGCTGTTTAGTATCAGGGGGCGTAGCTCAGATGGTAGAGCGCTCGCTTAGCATGCGAGAGGTACCGGGATCGATACCCGGCGCCTCCAGGAGTTTTTTTTCAGGCACGCACGCCATAAATTCATCCGTTCGCCTTGAAGGTGGCACGTCATTTTTTAATTAAGTGCTGTGAAGAGTCATTTATACAACTTCAGTTAAAACAAAGTACTTCATACTCGAAAATGGAGGGAAAATGCGTTTTTTACATGTTTCATGGCAGCAAACTCATACAATTTCATATCGTATCCTTTTCTAATCGACCTGTTACGTTTTTTCTTATTTTTTGCTTCGTTTTTACTGGTCTTATTTAAAGAGAATTGAAAGGAATCGAAATCATTGCTCTCGAACTTTGTTATCGACATTTAGTGGGGAGACTTTATAGTGCTATATTAATAGAAAATGGGGTGGGTACCCGGGAAATTCAAAACGTAACGTAACGCTATTGGCGTCAGGTCACAATTTGTGACTTGCGTTCAGCCAAGTCTTTGTTGATTGGTGAGTCCAATTTAAAATGACAGACGTTTGTTTTCGTTGCCATTGATTTGTCAACCTGTCAGATTGATATTGCAGAATTTCAATGTGTGTAGTAATAAACACAATCTATAAATACTTTGTAGTCTTACAAACAGATGATATAGTCAAAATCACGAAAGATGACTGTTACGGCGTACCATAAATTGTACTGAAGTAATCAATGGACGCAAGTCGATGATAAAATCACGAGTCAGAAGCATAATGACAACAAATTTATATTATGATTTTGCGACGTTAGGTTATTTCACTGATAATTTTTATTTTCATTTTATTTCATGGTTTTGAGTGATACCTTAATAATAATTTTAGTGGGGAGTTTTTGTTTTGAAAAAAAAACAGTTATGAGTAGAATACCTTAAGACAGGAACACCAAAAACCAAAGTATTACTCAAAAACAACATAACCTGCTTTAACATAACCTAACTATTCATCTTTCAAATATGATCGATCATGCAACATGAAAACATCGTCTATCTTTGTCGTATACATGCAAATTAGCAATACCGTTTGTTTAGATTAGACAATAAAATTCAGTTTGTCTCTGTCTAACATATCAGAAACTTTGTTAAATATATTCACAAATCGCTGTCGTATGTCTACTACAGACTAAAATGATGACGTAATCGTCACCTTTCGTGATTTCGACTATATGTCAAAAACTCGACAGTAGCCAAACCAAAAAAACATTCAACATGGGGCTATGACGTCACTGCGAAGCGCCCCAAAAATGCGCGGTTTTTGCAGTTTTAAATATTTAATTAAAAATATAGACATTTCCATGTGTTTCCGGTATTATATTAACCTAAATAATTGACAGAAAACACAAGAAGTTAAGCGTATTTCCTATTGGACCGATACATCGTTTTCTCTTTAAATGAGTTATCAACTTGTCGGTCAAAAAGACGAAACTCGGAAGGTTCGAGATCCAAATTCAATTCTGGTGCCAATTTACACGCATTAAGCTCATTCTTGTTACAAATGCTGTGAGTTTGACCCATTTAACATCCTACGAACTACGAAACAAACAACTTACGAACAACCCTCACGCATTGAAAGGATTCAAAAGATCGAGAAAGAAAAGTGAAAACCCAGGCAAAACTCGTCAACACACTATGTGATATGTGCTCGTATTGCCACTCCAAATTACATCTATACAACGTGTTCGAAAAATAGACGGAGATATTTTACAGGGTGATTCCTTGTTGAAAAATATGATACAGGATGGTAAATTGGAAAAACAAATATTAATGTCTTATCTTTACATTATGTCATGGTACCTGGAAAAGTTGCAATAACACTCTTTCCTACAATTTGTTTGATTTTTGTTTTCCAAGGCACTTGTGATTTTTTTAACAAAAGTTAATAAGCCAATTTTGTCCAGAGAGCGGTTTTTATTTTTTTTCTTGAAAACGAAGTGAGATACGAAAAAATACAAGAGGCAAATAAGTTGTATTTTTAGATGCTTAATCAAACAACAAATATTAAAGTTACAAAAACGGCGGTGACGTACATTTTTTTGACAATTATATTTGCTAAGGTGCCCCCCGGGACGCCACTGGACCTAATAATTTTAATCTATTCAGGTCAAAATTAGCCTCTTAATACAACTAATAATATTGATAAATTTCGAAAGAATTGATTAAATATTAAAATAGTAATAATTTGAACTCTCAAAGTGATCTCCTCTATTTTTCGAAC